AAACAGCCCGATGCCTGTCAAGACAGTTTTTCAGTCCGTGAAGTCGGCCCTTAGTGGCATCAGGATGGGTCAAATACATTTCACTTAAAATTTTAATAAATGTGTGGAAGAGAAATAACAAATTCTTTATTCTATATTTCTACACATCATTCACAGAGTCACTATTCTGTGTCTGTATATTTGTTTTGTGTGGCCGGTTCAAATAATTCCGGGCCTTGACTTTGACACCCATCCACAACATTAATGGACATTTATCAACATTCATGGACATTTATCAACATTCATGGACATTGGTCTCTCCCTGTGGACCAATACCATGTGGTCTATATTCTCTGATTCTTTGATCTGTTTTGGGTGATTTCAATGGTTTTGTAAAGTCCTCTGAGAAAACTACTGTTGTGATTTAGGGCGATACAAGAACACATAGAATTGAATTGAGGTTTGATGTAGTCTTAATTGTTTACGTATTTGTCTGAAGCAGATAAGCCTCTTGAGAGTCAGCGTGACACGGCCCCGGCCCAGACATTCCAGCCATTCACAAGTTGACCGCCGCTAACTTTAACTGTTTCTGCCCATACAGCAAGTCAAGAGCTGGGGATTTCTGCTCCGATAACCACAACACAGCATAGAAACACACAAAAATAAACAGCATAAGAAAAGAAGTGAAAAGAGAAAAACCACCGCACCACAAACTTTTTCTGTCTCCTGTTGTTTGTTGTTCTACACTCAAAGCTGAGACTGTGAAACCAAGAGAAACTGCAGTGTGTGTATGAGGCCGGCAGAGGGCGCTGTGCTCTAATATTATATATACAGAGAACTATTTTGGAGATAGGAGTGAGAATGACGTAATGTTGGCGTCACTGTGGAATCAAAACACGGAGAGAGATATTACAAAATGAAAACAAAGGGATAGATAAGCTACTAATAAGAAAACACTGAGTTTTATTATGTGGGCTTGTTCACACTAAAGGGTAGAAAAGTGTGACAGAGGCAAAAATGAGATTTGAATAATCAGAAAATATATTATGTTTTCCATGTATCCAAATCCCTCTTCAGTCCATTGGAAGTTGCAAGAAGAGACTATTTTATACGTTAGTCAAGTTTCCAATAACGGCTGTTTCTCTGAGTCTCGGACCTGATCCTTTAAATGAGCTGAAGTTTGTTTTTGTCAGATCCACTTTATTTTACAGAGTAGAGAAAAAAATCATAAAGTCAACCAATTAAGGTGAAACTAGACCATCACTGGATTCTCAAGTTTCATTTTTAGAAAACAAATTTCAATTTGTATTGATTGATTTATTTATTTTTATTTATTTTTTAAATGATTCTGTTTTAAATGCAATGATTTCCTGGTGTTGTGTTAATGTTAATCTGTGGAGTTCATTTTGTCTCTGACCTTTTATTTTTTGTCTCTCAGTCACAGAATGATCCAATCAGAGGCTGATCTGGTTTTAACATTTTGCCAAAAATGTATTTGTCAATCTTCTCCATCTCTTTGATGTGTCTGTGTTTTAAATCTTTTTTGAATCTATGATAGTATATTTAGTTTTTGAGCTATAAACTTTTAATGTCCAGATACTATAAATCAACACTTTTCTATGAACACACACATATTTACAAATAGTGAGTTTCTAGATTTGTGGACATAAGAATGCGACTTGACAACAGTGCCCCCAAGTGTTAGGTTGGTCACAGTAACGCATCTATAAAACAATTGTCCATTTATTTGTGCAACATTTACAATTGGTTTAAGCATATTTTGTGGTGAGTCAAATTGGCCTTGTTCAATATAGAATAGAAATCTATAAATATAACTATAAACTACAGCTGTAAAAAGGCGTTATTCACATGTATGCCTTTAATCCTAACTTCAGTCATTGATGAACTAAAACGTTTACTTAAATTAGTCTTTTTGCCCATTATGTGTGGATGGTGTTTTTGACTTTAATCAAACTATTAAATGACACGGTCTAATCTGAAACATTTTATGGCAACACTTTGAAAATCTGCCTCTAAATAATCCTAACCCATAAATGCGAAAGAAAGTATTTTGTTAGAACCATTTTTTATATGATGACAATTCTGATTTTGTTTTTGTTGTTGTTGATACATTTCCTCTTTTTCCATCTACCTTTCCCTATTTGTGTGACCCTCCCCTGTCATCTGTCATGGTGGTCTGCAGAGCCGCACACACACAACTCTTTAAAGACAAATGGACCAATAGAAGCAGGAGTAACAGAAGGTCAGGGGCAGGGGGCAGATGACCACATGAGCAGTGGAAAGACTGGACTCACTGTCCACGTACCTCAACGGTCTTACATAAAACTCCTTACATTTTTTTAAAAAGACACAATTTGTTTTCATTCCACATGTGTAAGTGGGATTCTCTGATCTGTGTTGGCGAATTGACAACCTCGTAAAGTCTTTTGAGATGACTGCTGTTGTGGTTAAGGGCCATTTTAAAAAAATTGAATGGAATTGAAGTAGACTTAGGCAAACATACCTACAAATGTTTAAGTATACTTCAATGAGTGTGAAGGAATGAATAAATTATACTTTTTTGATTCAGTTGTCCAGTAGCAGCAAAAATAAAACATAAAATTGATCATTCTAAAAAGCTAACAATAATTAACAGTTATTTCATTTCCTTTGCTTTTCCTCTAGTCTCACTATTACAGTATATATATGTATTTAATTCATTTTTTTTTTGCCTGTAAGAATCTGGCCAATGTGTATTCTTGCCATATGGAGTATAGGAGGTTTGCCTTTAGCATCTTAACAAATACCGTTTGTTAAATACATTTTTATCCGTTAGTTCACAACTAATCCATTATTTAAACGTTTAAAAAAAGGTTGTCATCTAATTATACGAATCAATCAATTGTCTTTTAAAAACAAAATGGTTTTATGGACAGACAGCGTAGGGCTGGGCGATAAAACGATAACGATATATATCGCGATAGACATGTGTTCGATATCAATAGAGAATGGGGTCGATAGAATGTTCGATAGTTTAACTTAACTCCGTCAGGAAAAACAAGAAGAAAACACCGGAAGTAAAGCCGACTCATAAGCGCATGGCATTGTGGGGGATGTAGGCGGAGGCTTCTCGACCAATAACAGCCGAGCAGGAACCGCAAAACTTTGTGGGAAATGCAAAAACAACAACAACCGCAGCATGCGTAGCGTCCATGGATCTATAGCTCGTGTTTCAATGCCGTGTCAATGGTTGTGCACGTACGTGCGCGGAATAACATGTGCGGCGGCAGAGGCAGTGGACAGACCCGATGTATTCGGCGAAAGCAAGAGATTAACTTTTTCCTCGGGAAGCATGTGCGGCACAGAGAGCCACACGGAGCGGCCACGGGGACACAAGACCCTCAAACAGCTAAACCAGGAATAAAAAACCAGGATTAAACCAGGACTAACAACGAGGGACACAGTGTGAACATATTCCTCCAGCCTCATCGCCCCGTGACTGTAAACAAGGCTGCTAAGGTTGGTTAGCCCACACGACAAATATATTTATTTAGGTTAAAAAAAAAAACTCAATATATATTGTTATCGACCGATATGAATGACTTATATCGTGATATAGTTTTCAGCCATATCGCCCAGCCCTAAGACAGCGGCATTCGTAATCCAATAAATGAATCAATAAATCAAATGAATGATCAGCCAACGAAGCAATTATCAAAACACTTTATCATTTGAATAGTAAGTGCTAGGACAGAGTTCATTTCTCTCATAATAAGATTTGATTAACAACCTATTTAAAACAACAAAGGAAATCATATTATTGTTCCCCTGTATCTTCCACCTGTAGCAGCAACATGAATAAGAAAGACTTTTGAGACTGTTTCCTCAGGTGTTCAGGCTTTGATGCAAAGACGTCCAGTCCATATCGTGACAAATGCAACAGAATCTCCAAAGTAACGGGTGAAAAAAGGTTTGTACTTTATGATACGTATGATAGGGGCCACCTGCAGAGAGAGGTGATGGTGATCCACTCTGCCACACCCTGACCAACAAAGGCAGCCTCCAAATGCTCCCAGCTACACACAGTTGCACAGCTACACACAGACACACAACCACCGGTAACTCTACACTGGCAACGGGGAGAAGGGAGGCCATGATGATGAGGGATGAGGGCCCTGCTGCTTCTGAAGTCCTGTGGCTCAGACGGCTCAGACCACAGCACTATATCAGCACAGACTTTCATCCAAAACACCTGCCTTTTTTTGGAGGAAACTCAAGCTACCACAGTCGAAACAATATGACAAAGACAGCAAGAGATTTGTTATGATACAGAAAAAAAAGCTTCCCACTTTGCACAGCTGTCATCAAAGCATTAAAGTAGAAATATGTAAAATTTTCATGTCAAGTCATCATTAAAGAGCCCTGATAAATCAAAAGACAGTAATAAAACCAGCTCTTTTGATAACAGTAGTTCAGCGATATTTGGATTTCAACATTAGTTTTACAGCCCCTAAATCTTGTTCATTTCTATGTCCCGCCCCCCACCGTTTCATCAATCAGAGAGTCTGTGTTCCGAGCGCCAGAACTTACCGCATGGAGCTGATCTCACTGGTAAAGTACCATGTGGCGCAGAACTAAAAAATATCTCGTTATGATTCTCAAATCATTAACGACAAAACAAGGAATAAAACCAGGATTTCTATCTTTGTGAAAAAGGTGTTGGTTATAGATTTGTTGTTGACAAAACTCTTGTCCATTCAGCTGTTATGGTCCCAGCTGGATTCGTCTGCATATCTGGCAACCTGAGTCAGGGAGAGTGGGAGAGGCTGCAGTACCACCTTTGGCCAGATTTTTACATACTGCTTCTTTAACTGATAACAGTAGTTCAGAGAAATTTAGATTTCAAAATTATTTTTCCAGTCCCTAAATCTTGTTATCGTTTTCATTTCGAGGTCCCGCCCTCCACTGTTTCACCAATCAGAAAGTCATGAATCATACTAAGACGCTTAAGGCATGATCACCTGTGTCCATGGAAGTCCTCTTTGATGCCTTGGACCAGAGGAGAGGGCAGCAGCTGAACATGCCCCGGGCTGAGGGGGGCTGTGGGGCAGTGTTTGGCCCGGTGGTCCCAGGTGTGGGTGCTCTGTGTCAGGTTGTGGCCCACTTTCTTTCGCCGCGGGAGAGTGCCGTGGAGAGACACCTGCTGAGCTGCAGAGAGCTCTGACAGGCTGCCACTGGGGCCAGAGGCACAGCTGTGGACGAAATGAGACAAAACACAAGTTACTGCTGCTGCTGCTGCTGCCGTCATCATCGCTGCCAAAATGTTTCTGTCTCATTCAGATTCTCTGGTCTCTCTCTGGTCTCACTCTCTGGTCTCACTCTCTGGTCTCACTCTCTGGTCTCACTCTCTGGTCTCACTCTCTGGTCTCACTCTCTGGTCTCACTCTCTGGTCTCACTCTCTGGTCTCACTCTCTGGTCTCACTCTCTGGTCTCACTCTCTGGTCTCACTCTCTGGTCTCACTCTCTGGTCTCACTCTCTGGTCTCACTCTCTGGTCTCACTCTCTGGTCTCACTCTCTGGTCTCACTCTCTGGTCTCACTCTCTGGTCTCACTCTCTGGTCTCACTCTCTGGTCTCACTCTCTGGTCTCACTCTCTGGTCTCACTCTCTGGTCTCACTCTCTGGTCTCACTCTCTGGTCTCACTCTCTGGTCTCACTCTCTCTTTTTGGTCCCTCTCTCTGGTATCTCTCTCTCTCTCTCTGGTCCCTCTCTCTCTGGTCCCTCTCTCTGGTCTCTTGCTGGTCTCTTGCTCTCCTAAGTGTATGAACTATGTGTGCATGTGCATATGATTCTATATTCTATGAGATTTGCTTTGTTTTATCATTAAATGCTGCAGAGTTTCATGTTTGCATCAGCTTTAGCTTGTGATGTACCTTTAGATTTTTTTTCATTGAAAAAGGTGTGCTCAAAAAGGTTGGGGAACACTACTCTACAGAACAGAACACACACACTTACCCAGACCTGGCACCGAGCAGGTCCATGGAGGAGGCCAGAGACCCCTGGAGTCTCCTTGAAGAGCAGGTGGGGGGTCCCAGGGAGTATGAGGGTCCCGTCAGAGGAGGGTGATGCGTGTGCAGAGACCTGGGCAGACTGGCAAAGCGCCCCTCAGCCATCATCCTCAGCTCTGTACGAAGCACAACCGCACACATAAGGGTTTTGTGTCAGAAATTCAGCATAACCTCAACAGAATCCATACACAGTAGAAACCACATTAACAAACGTAGTCACGCCTATCTCCGCCTTTCAAACTGATGTGCCAACACTTTTGCCTTCTGTGGCTTATTCAAAATGGCCGCGGGGCAGGAAAATGTGAAAAATTGCATTTGCGCATGTGTTAGCTGCACTAGCCCCATTCATTTAATGAGTTCATTCAAAAGTCCACAGCGGCTAAACTAGACTGGTCCAAAAAATAATCCTCCTCTCAACATCGACAGCATCTGGAACGTAGCGTTGGACCAAGAGCTGTCATGAAGTGAATAAAGGACCAAAATGTAAGAATGCCAAAAAATATAATTTAATGAAGATAAATAAAAGTCCAGGTGAAAACAAACTCAAAATCCAAACTGAACCCAAGAACTACAAACCAGAAACACAGACAATGACAGAGACAATACAATGGACCAGCAACAAGAAGAGAGGAGCACAGGTACATATAGACACAGACACAGGTGAAACACATTGTGGCTGCACTTTGCTAAGTGGATAGCACTCTCGCCTCTCAGCAAGAAGGTCCTGGGTTCGAATCCCGGGCGGACCAGGGCCTTTCTGAGGGGAGTTTGAATGTTCTCCCCGTGTCTGCGTAGGTTTCCTCCGGGTGCTCCGGTTTCCCCTACCACTAAAAATATGTACACTAGTTCTGGCATGCGCCTCCTGTACTGGCAACCCTGCTCCCATCTCTGTGTGGAGTGAGAGACAAATGCCCAAAATAAACAATTGTAAACCGCTTTGAGACTCAGAGCTGCAGTGAAAAGGCGGTGTATAAATAAAGATTACTACTAGGGCGGGACAGACAGGGAACAGGAAGTCAAACTAATACACAGGGAAAAAGGATCAAAATAAAACGTAGTAAAGGAAAATAACACAAAATCCACACCATAACAAGAGCCACTTTTGGACCATCTCGTAAAGACGTTTTCAAGAGGAAAGAAGACGCCATACAAAAGCATTGGGTAATTCTCTTTCCGGGTACACCCCCACAGGCAAGGCGTGAGATTGCAGCATGTCAGTGCAAGTGCTCATGGACCTTTTCGGAGCCGGGACACGCCCACACTGGTCCAAACGCATCATGGACTAAGGTATTGTGTTTCTCTGTGAAATCTGAACACACAAACACTAAAGATGACTGACACAAACAGTGATGTACACAACGCACAGGTAAAAGGATATGGTTCAGAGTGTCACGCGACATCACAAGGTACAAATATGACCAGCGGGAGGGAATATTGCTGCTGTTGTTGTTGCGTAAGACACAATTGTATACCCTTAAGCTTTTTTACGGCATCTCTGCTTTTGTAAAGGACTATCACATTATGTCACTTTTCTTTGAGAGTATTGAGATCATAATGACACGTGGCAAAACGAAATAAACCCAAAATGCAGAACAAAATACAAAACAAATTGGAGAGAAAATGGCACCAAAGTTACAAAACAGGAACTAAAAGTGAACAAGGAGTGAAAGAATCCCCAGGGTTTAAATACAAGACACAAGAATCTATTATAAAAACTGGATAGGGTGTTACTAGCTTGGAGCTAAAGGACCCATGTGTAGTACTGCAGACTAAAAAAGACTAAATTCAGGTAGGCAACACAGAGATTTACCCTAAAGAACTCAATGTAAACTAAATCAGTTCGACCTCAGCTGACAGAGAACCTACAGCTTTCATAAAGGTCAGGTTTTGTGTCCCTTTATTTCTTCTTAAAGATGTAGTCAGTGATTCTTTTCCAGACGCATTTTCTAAAATATTGTGGGAAAACATCGTCTACAAATATTAATCAAAAATATTTGGAGCGGACCGATAAAAATAAACCAATGGGATTCGTTCATCCCCAACGAACCAATGGGATGTGTTTACTCCCTTCATCCTCTTCCTGTTTCTCACTCTCCCTGTTGGGACAAAGAAAAGAAAATTCTGTATGTTTGGTTTGGTGGAGAGGGGAGGGGAGGGGGGAGTGGTTTCGAGTTGGTGAGCTAAGCTAAGAAAATCCCTTACTGCACCTTTAAATCTTTACTTTTTCTATACATTCACACAAACTTCGCTCTAGCTCCGCTCTGATCAGCAGCTCTGATTGCTCAAAGCCAACCGAGCCCCCTCTGTGCACGTGCATGAGAACCACACACGTATTTGGCGCAAAGCATCATGGGAGCTCGTTCACTGCGCAGAATAGAGAGGACCAGACAATGCGCAAATATAGAGTTCCACTAATCTCTCGGTCCCGTGTATGTCCCATGCACTACTGATCACAAGCCATTGATTTGAATAGGACGCCATCTTGGATCAAAGGGACTTGGGTGAGACACATGAGGGTGGGTGTCACTCCCGTATTGGTCCCGGAAACCGGATTCGTCCGGAAGTTCAGTTTGATCCAATGAGCATACGCAGCAGTAGATTACGTCACGGAATCTGGACGGAAGCGGAAGTAAATATAAAAAACTACCTATTCATGCTTAAACTTAACCAGCCATTGCCATAAAATAACCCCAACCCAGCCTTAACCCTAAACCGTTTGGTGAAATGCACCAGTAACACGTGTTATCTCCTGAGGCCGAAGGGAACTACTTATAAATAGCCCAAGCGTCTGCAGTTTTATGAAATATTGAAGGGAATCTTCAATATAACCTGGCTTTGCACTCTGCTAATGCATTTGGAGAGGGGTGGAGAATCTTTTTCTACCCCTTTCCCAAGAAAACAGGGTAGCATTTGTCCGAAGACCGTTCTGTGGCATTGCTTTTCCATCTCACTGCGAGACAAGACGATATAAATACTCTGTCCAGGTTTGATATGTTGACATGGAAAGGTTGTGCAGTTCCTTGTTAAATTCCCCAAGTGTGTGTGGATGATGAGTGGGCAGTACACTCCTGAATCAGACACCGGTCGACTCTTAGTCATGAAGGAAGAATGAAATAAATAACACAAATATGATGGATGGACAATATTTCAAGTGCACAGTCTTTGCACGAGTGGATAAAGTTTATAATCTTTCAAGTGTACAATCAGTAAATAATAATCTGAGACGGATTCTGGTTATTGTGGGAAAATTGTATTATTCTGATACTATCTTTACTAAATTAAGTAATACATACAACATTAAATCAGTGTCTCCCAAAGTAGGGAAAAAACTTGTCCCAGAAGCAGTACATAGAATTGATCAATATATACAGTAATTGTAATGATTACACAATCACTGCTTTATGCAACTTAAATTATGTATGCTTTTGGGTTTTGGCTCTAAACAAAAGGAATACAATAACTTATCCTGAGTGTTCTTTCGTTCAGTAAAGGGGCATTAAAGTAAATATTAGCAGACGTAGGCGACAGTGGCTCAGTTGGTAGAGCATTGGCCTTTGGGCCTGAAGGTTGTGGGTTCGAGCCCACCACAAGACCTACTTCACGACCCCCACTGATGTCTACTGTTGTTGTGTCCTTGGGCAAGACACTTAACACCACTTTGCCTGAAAGATCAAAGCTCCTGTGGACTCAGCACCTGCAGGAGGATCAGTGAGGGGCTGGTGCTCTGTGTACTGGGTGAACTCTGACTGCCACCCCTGACCCAGAAATGGATAAAGGGGGAGAAAATGGATGGATGGATTAACAGACGTAGTCACGCCTATCCTAATATGCCACCCCTTTTGCCTTCTGTGGGCCTAAAAGTGGCCGCAGGGCAGGAAAATTTAAAAATAAACTAACACATGCATTAGCTGCACTATCCTCATTCATTTAACGAGTGCATTCAAAAGTCCACAGCGACTAAACTAGACTGGTCCAAAAAAAATACACCCCTCAGCATCGACAGCATCTGGAACATAGCTTTGGACCAAGAGCCACTTTTGGAACATCTCGTAAAGACGTTTTCCAGAGGAAAGAAGACACAATACAAAAGCATTGGATGATTCTCTTTCCGGGTACACCCCCACCGGCAAAGAGTGAGATTGCAGCATGTCAGCGCCCGTGCTCATGGACCTTTTGGAGCCGGGACCCGCCCTCACTGGGAGCTACGGACCAGTAATCCAGTGGTGAGATCATAAATTCAGCATTCAGTCTTTTGTGCCATGAGTGAGAACTACAAACCGATCACCAAACCTTATGAAAGGGAATGCACTCAGATATAAAAACATCCAAACCAAATACAAATAGAGTAACAGTCTGTCCGCTAAAGACCGGAGTGACCTAAAGAGCTCCTGTTTGTCTCAGCAACATTTTCAACATCCAGATTGTGATCAGAGCTGAGGGCAGAAGACCACAGACGAGACGGCCAGAGGTTCCACATAAATACCTCTGATACGGCGCTTTCAGAACAAAATTACATGATTTTTTAAGAGTCTGAGCAGTTAGTGTTTAGGCTTGTTTTAAGTATTTTTTCTTATTTCCAGACAACTGTTCTTGTTTAGATAAAGTAAGTTTGTGATTTCTCAGTAAGTAAATTATACTTGAAATTTATGCGTTTATTCTAGAATCAAGTCATTTGGGGCTAGAACTATTTTTATATTTTCAGAAATCTTGTCAAGTCATTTTTTCTATTGCAGATATTTTTTCGTATCTTATGCAGTATTTTACTTATTCCCCATATATTTTTTCTCCAGTGTAATTTTTGCATGTATTCTTTTGAAGGCTGCTAAGCATCAGCCTCATAAACAGGCCGATACTTCATCCACAATTCTACTTGTTTCCATGTTTTCCAGGAGCCTGAAGCTAATCGCCGCAGTGCGCTGTGATGGCTGTCAATAAACTGTGCTTTGGGATTAGGGCACAGCTGACACACTCCAACACATTCAGACAAGCCAGACCTTATCCCCGGCTGCACACCACACAGGCTACAGTAAAAGAACAATGCGGGTCGCCCTGTGGAGGCATGCTGGGTCAAACACTGGATACCTCTGAGGGCCACAACGACCGGTGGG